TGATGGTTGGACTTGATGATCTTAAAGGTCTTTTCCAACCTAAATGAGTCTATGATTCTAGAGGTATCTCTGAAATGCCTTCTTGGGTCAAGATGGCACAGGAGGACTGAGGCAAAAAACCAAACCCTCTGTCTGGCGAGGGGTTGCTGAGCCATTCCTGAGGCCAGCACTGCTTGGTGGTTCCCTTAATGGCCTAGAATGTAAGGTTGACTCTCTCTATAGAGATACTTTGACATGCATCTGGCAAAGCAGCCCTTTTCTCAGAATGGTGCCTTCTTCCTATTTCCAGGTTTGAGGTTAGGGCTGTGCCTCGAACAGCTTCTCTCACAGATGAAGAGATATGTGCAGAATTCGAGAGTGCTTTGAGCAGCATGGGAATAAGAGGTAATGTGCATGGGAATAAGAGTGACTGATTCCTGGCAGAGGTTTGCGCATTTGCCTGTCTTCATTATGGGTGGGTGTTTAGGGCCCAGGCTAGAATAGATGCCTGGGATGGTAGAGGCACCCTGTGTGCCTCTATTTACCCCTCCTGGTAAGTCTCAAGGGACTCATTTTGGAACAAGGTGGGCTCACCAGGACCAACTGCAGTTGACAGTGCTGGCACTCCGTGCCCTGGAGTGTTCCATTTTAGGAGTTTGTGCAGGAGGGAGTAAATGTTTTGGGAAGTCCATCAGCACTGTGAATCACAAACTCTGCCTTGAGTTGTGGGGGGCTGGGGGGTTGGTGCATCTCTTGGAATCACCGCGGCATGATTCAATGAGAAAAATTGCGTAGAGAACAACTGTGCCAAAGGTGCTAAGCTGCGCTGAGACCTCACTTCTCTTTTGAGGCTGGGAAGTCTGGCTCCTTGACCTAAATTCCTCAGGAACATCAGAGCTATAACATGTTTGAATGCCATGATAGCAATTTTTTGTATACCAAACACGTATGCAATGCTAAGAAATTGTTCCCCTGAAAGAGGCTGTTAAGCGCCAAGATCTGTCTCACCCCGAAAGCCACTGTGCAGAGGAAGAACTAGCTGCAGCAGGAGAAAACTCACACCGAAGAGAATAATTTGGCTATTAAGGGTTGAACAGGATCAAGGGCTGGTGTCAGAAAGGACTTAAGATGTCCCTCTGAGAAAACAGGTCTCACAAGGAATCCCAGTGAGGCATTAAACAGCTTCTAACACTGCAGAGCAGATCTGTGCCTCCTCCTGCCTGTTCTAAGAGGTTTTCTCCTTTCATGCTTGCAGCGGCTGTTCGTCACACATTACACCTTGCGCAAACAGGTGTTTCTCCAGACTGCTTAGCCAGAGCTGAGATGGAGGAAGAAGCAGAGGAGAAAATGGAGGGAAAAGGGCCTCCTGGCAGGTGAAACTCTGAAAGGACTCGATTAGAGTGGCCTTGTGCTTGTAGTACTTGTGTGGGATGTTTTATAGGCTCATACAATAATGGAAGGGCTCTTGGGAGGTCCTAGTCCAACCAGCTGCTCCAAGCAGAGTCAGCTATGAGCTGAGGTCAGACCAGGTTGCTCAGGACTTTATCCAGGCTTGTCTTCAAAGCCTTGAGGGCTGCAGACTGCCCAAGCTCTCCGAGAAACCTGTTCCCCTGTTTCCTTTGGACCCAGTGTTTGTATTAACTCAGAAGGGCTGCTAACACACATCGCCACACAGTGCATTTCCTTGCTGGATGGGAAGTCCCACAGTATTTGGGACTGCTTTGCAATGGTCAGTGTAGTGGCCAGGAGGGAGATACCAGTATCTCCAGGTGCCTGTCATTGCACAGGATGCAAATCCTCCCATTCCATCAAGAGGGCCGCATCAGGCTGCGTGTCCCGGAGCCTTCCTTATGGAAAAAGCTCATCTCCTTGACTTCCTTGTTGGCACATCTGAGCATTACAGCTCAGGGTTATCCCTGTCTCTGTGGAGGGGAAGACAATTGGGTGAAGAGAGCTCGCTCTGCTGCCAAAGCAGGTGAGCAGTGTGAGCACAGGATGGAGAAGAAAGTGTTCCTGCACTCGTACCAACTCACACTGGTGTGTATTTTCAGACTGTTTCCAGGAAGGCAGCACAAAGAACCTCCTTTTGAGAGCCCTGAATTGCCATTGCCTACTTCTGAAGAACACAGGCAGACAGGACAGGTACATAATATGGATTGAGGCAACTGTTGTGTCACTTGATTGTAGAAAATCAAGTGGGGATATCATAGGAGAAATAGGTACATAAAAAAACACACAGATAACTATTCTGACTAGATCTCTTACTGTGGCTCATTTTCTTGTTCAATTACCTGTTTTGGGTATTGTTCATCTCAGAAAAGGAACTGTAGCCCTGTCCTGGTTTTGGCTGGAATAGAGTTAATTGTCTTCCTAGTAGCTGGTATAGTGCTATGTTTTGGGTTCAGTACT